GAAACAGGTCACTGACATTAGCCTCAGCAGTAATCTGGTATGCCAGTGATCTGTCATGTTGGATCAGAATGTCCATCGTCTGTGTGCAGGTCATGTCTATCACAGTTACCGTGTACACACACACATTTGCAGTTACACACATGCCTACAGACCTTATTTAGGATGTTTGATGCCCCTGTGCAGTCATTTATTTTACGTCTTCTCTCCCCCTTCCTCAGCTATACTTCAATGTCACTGTTCGTTTACAGATCACCAACAATAAGTTGCAGAATTATTGACTTCAGTTGTGAACTGTATTGAAGTATTTCAACTTAACAGATAAAACAAATGTTCAAGTTAAACATTTATAAATGATTCTGAAGACAAAAATATGAATCACTGCAATCCATATTGAAAATCTATCACAGAAATCTACAATTTAGTCAGCTTTTTTTTTTCTTTTATAAACTACTAGCTATATATTGTTGCTGCTCTGTGAAGCTGCACATATGTGTGGCCCTGTATGTATAAACATACACATGTACATATACATACTGATTTTGCACAGTTGCACACATGTTTACAAATTCTCTCACAATCAGTTTCTCACGCACATTCTCTCAGATACATTTCTCATGTTTTATTTAAATAATTTTCCTGATTCATTCCGACTGAGTCAGTGGACAGACTTTTAAGCAGTAAATGTTAAATGAGTACATTTGGCAGCCATTGCCAGTTTATGCATTCCTGATATCCATTGTTGGCAGCCTGCCTTCAGGTTTGTATTATTGTATTGTTTGCCTGTGCTCAGTTTTGACAGGTGTTTGCTTTTTATTTTGATGTTCTTTGTTTTCATGACCAGACACTTTTGTGTGGTGGGTGCATTGTGTTGGGAAATTATCAACTGTTTGGTGAAACAAGCATCTGCAATAGTTTCTGATTTATGCAGCATGTTTTGTCTGAGTTTGTTTCCGTTTGTTGTTTTAATTGAGGTAGGTGATGTTACAGCTGCCATGTTTATGAGACACATGTTTGTGTTGTTGCTGCTGCAGTCAAACTGCAGTTTTGTGACCCAGTTGTTTGTTCTCTTCCATCTGCTGATTTTGAGATTTAAACTTGTTCATTCTATTTTCTGAGCTGACAATTGTTGTTATCTGTTAATGAGTTTTGTCCAGAGAGTTTGTCTGAGTGTTTGTTTAGTTAATTGTCCTTATGTTTATATGTTTGAGTGCAGCTATTAATGAATATATGTCTGAGTGTTAACAAGTGTATGTTGAGATCATTGTTGTAAAGATTTTAGGTTTGATTGTGTTCTGTATGTAGGGCTTGATTGTGATAAGAGAGAGAGAGTGTGTGTGTGCATGCATGTGTAGTGAGAGAGAAAGAGTGAGTGAGTGAGAGAGAGAGAGAGAGTGAGTGAGTGAGAGAGAGAGAGAGTGAGTGTGAGAGAGAAAGTGAGTGAGAGAGTGAGAGAGAAAGAGTGAGTGAGTGTGTAAGAGAGAGTGTGTGCTTTTGTTGTTATCTTTCTGGGCAGGTGAGAAGAGAATCACAGGAACATGTGACAGCTGGAAATATTGATGGGAAGAAGCAACGGAGGCACGTGTCAGTGCACACATTGATACAAGTTGTTGGAGAACACAGGATACTTCTTTTTCATGCCCTTAGACGTATTGGGCATATAGGGCTAGACATAAATTGTATAGACCAGTTGGCATTCTGTGGATGATGTCGGGTCGACCCGGGAGCCAAGGCAATTTAAAAAAAAAAATCTGACTGAATGTGGATTTGAACTTGAGATCACAAGATATGGACAACAGAAATGATTGCCAGGGCAGTCAGCAAAAATGAGCCGTATGGTGTAGCAGCTAGATCTGACAGTTGTAGGTTTAGGTCCTAGTGGAGCAGGACTTTCAAGAACAAACATGACCTTGGCTCCCGGGTGGACCCAGCCTTAAATTAGTACCAGGTGGAGTTCTGGGAGGTGAAGGCGTCGGCACAGTGCTGATTACATCCTCCACCCAGTGCTGACCCCATCCTCCACCCAGTGCTGATTACATCCTCCACCCAGTGCTGATCATATCCTCCACCCAATGCTGATTACATCCTCCACCCAGTGCTGATCACATCCTCCACCCAGTGCTGATCACATCCTCCACCCAGTGCTGACCATATCCTCCACCCAGTGCTGATCCCATCCTCCACCCAGTGCAGATCACATCCTCCACCCAGTGCTGATCCCATCTTCCACCCAGTGCAGATCACATCCTCCACCCAGTGCTGATCACATCCTCCACCCAGTGCAGACCACATCCTCCACCCAGTGCAGACCACATCCTCCACCCAGTGCTGACCACATCCTCCACCAGTGCTGATCCCATCCTCCACCCAGTGCTGATCACATCCTCCACCCAGTGCTGACCACATCCTCCACCCAGTGCTGACCACGTCCTCCACCCAGTGCTGACCACGTCCTCCACCCAGTGCTGATCCCATCCTCCACCAGTGCTGATCCCATCCTCCACCCAGTGCTGACCACATCCTCCACCCAGTGCTGATCCCATCCTCCACCCAGTGCTGATCCCATCCTCCACCCAGTGCTGATCCCATCCTCCACCCAGTGCTGATCCCATCCTCCACCCAGTGCTGATCACATCCTCCACCCAGTACTGATCACATCCTCCACCCAGTGCTGATCCCATCCTCCACCCCTGATCACATCCTCCACCCTCCACCCAGTGCTGATCACATCCTCCACCCAGTGCTGATCCCATCCTCCACCCAGTACTGATCACATCCTCCACCCAGTACTGATCCCATCCTCCACCCAGTACTGATCACATCCTCCACCAAGTACTGATCACATCCTCCACCCAGTACTGATCACATCCTCCACCAAGTACTGATCCCATCCTCCACCCAGTGCTGATCCCATCCTCCACCCAGTGCTGATCCCATCCTCCACCCAGTACTGATCACATCCTCCACCCAGTGCTGATCACATCCTCCACCCAGTACTGATCACATCCACCACCCAGTGCTGATCCCATCCTCCACCCAGTACTGATCACATCCTCCACCCAGTGCTGATCACATCCTCCACCCAGTGCTGATCACATCCTCCACCCAGTGCTGATCACATCCTCCACCCAGTGCTGACTGGTTTGTAAAATATAGCTCTAGTCCAATGGGTCAGAAGGCGGGGAAAGGGGTCTTTTACTTCAAAAGGCTACAGTCAGCAGATTTCTACATATACAGGGTGATGAACAAACTTGTCCCACTTTATATACTGTAGTCGATCTGTGACGTACTAAGGAGTAGAATATACACTTCAGGAAATGAGATGTTCGCCTTTCTACGCAATGGTTCCTCTTAGGAAAGAGAGCAAAGTCAAGTGGCCTGGCATCTTGGTGTGCGGAGACTTCTGCCCTGTCATTGCTGCACCCACTCCTAGGGTCACATGTGTACACACGTCTGAGAACCCCTGTATGTGTGTGAGTGTACCGAAAGTGTACGGGCGAGCAACAGGTGGGGCAAACACAGGGGCCAGTGAATCATGAGAACACATCACTTGTTGGGATCACACAATGCGAAGCGCGTTTATTTCACTAGCTCTGAATTATTCATATGGCACTCGATAAATTAACTTGATGGTGAAAAAAAAAAACAGATGCTAGCTTTGGCAAAGGCCATCTGTCTCGTTGATACCTCCAATGATTCCCCGCTGAATTCAGCTCCAATCTTTGCTGGCGAGACGACTCATGTGTAGTTCTCCAGTTGTTACTGTCAGTGTTCCAGTATTCTAACAATTAGAGCAGTTTACTTCTGTATGACTCAACTTAGAATATCAGATCAATAACGGTGTAAAGATCAGGCACTATATACTCGATACAGCCTTAACATGTAAATAGTGCTTTACTTACAATACGCATTCGATAACTTTACAGCAAATGGAAGGAATTAAATAGCACGTTAGACCAGTGTTGTAGAGGTGCGGGGGAGAACTAAATACATTCGGGGAAACAAACAGGTTAGGAACGTGTAGGTGACTCGGGTAACAAATGCCTGAACACAAACCTTGAAGTGGCCACGGGACACTGAAGACAGTTTTGGCGTCCAAGTAAGTGAAGTGTGGGAACTGGGACGGTTGCTAAGGACTTTCCTTGGACACATTTATACAGCGGTATTAATATAGCCTGAGTTGTGGGGGGGGGGGGGGGGGCGGGGGGGGGGGACAATCTTATTGCTATAAAAATGAAATTTCAATAGAGACTTGTTTCGTCCTTGACCTAGTACCGAAGAAGACGGTAAGAGATATTGTATGTGGATGGACCAGACTACACGTAATCAGAAGTTGAACCTGTCATTCTCCCTTATTGCGGAAAGCCCATGTTCGACCCACCCATTGTCTCATAAAATGACAAGACTGACCCAAAGATATCACTAGGACGCAATGACCAGTTGTTTCAGCCAATTTCGCTAAGAAAAATCTCATACAAATGTTCAGGAAGTCAACCACAACATGGCTGCCATCTGCTGGACACGGTCGTACTCTCCAAACCCGGGGAAAGATACAACCGACTCAGTATCTATCTGCACATAGGTAAAGATGGGATCTACAGAAGTGCCGACACACGTCTCGAACTATACAACAGACCGGTACCAAACAGAGCTAAGGCTTTATTGTATGGCCTAATGAAAAAGCCTTAAATGTCAACTAAGGCATTTGCACACGACAGGGTGCTTATTACAGAATTGCTGGTAAGGACTGACTCTAGGCCAACAAACGTAAGCCCTACCACTAGGCACTGGGGTGGGGGGGATAACTTCAGAGACTTCCTCATTTTGTAAAAACTAAGAAGTTTTAGGTGGATGTCGTAGTAGTGAACACAGAACACTACTCTGATTAAATGAGATGTTACAAGGGCCGTTAGTGACGTCACGACACGTGACACTCCCGCAGGTGAGCCGACAAACGGTGAGTGACAAGTGAGAGATTGTTGTTCAAGATGAACCGCTGAACCATGTCTCCCAACACCTCACTGAATGTCTCTACAACCGCGAGACAGTCGCCATGTGTAGACATCGGATATTTGCCCTCCTCCAGACAGTTCTTCCAAGGTGAGCTCAGTGTAGTTGGTGATTTGTGCACGTTTGCATTGTATATTCTTGTAGTGCGAACAGCGTGTAGTTGGTGGTTTGTGCACGTTTGCATTGTATTTTCTTGTAGTGCGAACATCGTGTAGTTGGTGGTTTGTGCACGTTTGCATTGTATTTTCTTGTAGTGCGAACATCGTGTAGTGTAGTTGGTGGTTTGTCATTGTGCACGTTTGCATTGTATTTTCTTGTAGTGCGAACATCGTGTAGTTGGTGATTTGTGCACTTCTGCGTTGTATTTTCTTGTAGTGCGAACATCGTGTTATTATCTTCTTGTAGCGCAAACATCGTGAAGTTGGTGATTTTTGCACGTCTGCGTTGCATCTTCTGGTAGTGCGAATATTATATTATATAGTTATCTTCTTGCAGTGTGAACATCGTGTATTTGGTGGTTTGTGCACGTCTGCGTTGTATCTTCTTGCAGTGTGAACATCGTGGAGTAGTAAATTTATAGCAGGCGTTCACCATTAGTCTACTGTGTCTTATCATTTGTGGTCCTGTAGTTGTCCTCACGGCACACTCAGAGGAAATGGCTAAGATCACTCACAAAGACGTGACTTATCCCATCTCTTGGAGTTATTTACCCCCTGCATTGATATTCGACTGAAGCCGTTCAAACTCTCTTCCCTTCTTCATACCTCTCAGTAATAAAGGATCTCCAGATTTTCCCGTGAATGCCATAGAATGAAAGTTTCTTGTAAATATATATTGGCTTTTCTTCTTTAAAATCACGATTGCGTTTCTCACCACAGAGGGTCTGTTACAGCAGCGTTGAAAATGTGATGCCCGAAACAGAACCAAAAAGTAGCGGACTTGCTACCGCCAAAAAAAAAAACACATTTGTGACTAATGTGAACTAACAGCAGTAGCTTTAGTTTACAACTCCACCATGTCCTGCCCTGCCTGTATTTTTTAAATCTGTTATTGCTATTGGGACAGTATGTTGACAGAGCTCCTAGAGGAAGTATGGATAATAATACTGCACCCTAAGGTAGTGAGAGGTGACTAAAGGTAGGGTACGGGCTCACTTCAAACACGAGGTGCAGCGGCTAGACGCTAGCCTGCGGATCGGAAGGTTGTGGGTTCGGGTCTATTTGGAGCCATACTTTTTTAAAAAAAATGACCTTTGCTGCCAGGTCAAACCAGCCTTAAACGGGGACCAGGTACAGTCATGGGAAGTAAAGGCGGCCGGTGTGATGCTGATCCCATCAGTGCCGATTGGTATATAAAATATAGGTCTAGCCCTATATGCCCACTACGCCTGAAGACGTGGGAAGGATCCTTTATTTCTTTTTCGGACAGAAATGCGATTTTCTCGAAACATGGATTTAATGGAATTAAATAGCATGGTTTTGGAGTAGTGTCATTGACAGTCGAGCTAATGCTTGATTGTCCGCAGATCTATCTACAGCCGAGCGTGTCATCATCATCACGTGCTGTGTGCTTACCCCCATCACAGTTGCCATGTATAGCGAGCACGTCCATTTCTTGCTGCGCTTGAAGACCCACTGGATGGATCCACGGTCCTCTGTGTGGGTCCTGAGTGTTGTACCGGTAAGCAGCTACTGTGAGGACATGGTTGTAAATTCATTAACTCTTTCTGTCTATTGGCTGTTATTTTAACACATTTTGTACGGAATCAGTCATCAATCATTAACAGGTTGTAAGCAAAGATTTGATGGACTGCAACAGGACAGGATCATTAAAGTGTAGCTTATGGAGGGATATAAACTTCCAGTGAATTGACGGGTGAGAAAAAGACGCTGGCTGTGGGTAAGATACACATCAAGAAATTTGATAACAACTAGAATGACCTTCTTCTGGAACCCGCAGGAGAAAGATATAATGAGCTAAATTACACGAAGAAAGGAAGCAAAGATAAATAAAACAAATATGAGAGAGACACTGAGCCAGCTGTAGAAGATGGCCAGAGATTTCGTGTGGGCTGGTAGAGAAGTGGCTGGCTGAACTGTTACAACACTGGGCTCCTAAAAGAAAGATCTGGGTTCAAATCCTTAGTAATGCTGTCTTAAACTGCATAGTTCATGGCAGCAGCACTAGCCATGCGGCCCTAAATCTTCAGGCTCAAAGATCCCACACCCTCCCCTTTTAAACATCTCATAAGTGGTAAAAAAAGGCAGAAATAGTAGTTGGCAGCTGGAGCAGTGTAAATGTTTTGCCTGTTGATAAACCAACCACATTTATTATTATGGCAGTGTTAATGTTTTGCCTGTTGATAAACCAACCACATTTATTATTATGGCAGTGTTAATGTTTTGCCTGTTGATAAACCAACCAGATTTATCATTATGGCAGTGTAAATGTTTTGCCTGTTGATAAACCAACCACAATTATCATTATGGCAGTGTAAATGTTTTGCCTGTTGATAAACCAGTCACATTTATCATTATGGCAGTGTAAATGTTTTGCCTGTTGATAAACCAGTCGAATTTATCATTATGGCAGTGTAAATGTTTTGCCTGTTGATAAACCAACCACATTTATCATTATGGCAGTGTAAATGTTTTGCCTGTTGATAAACCAGTCACATTTATCATTATGGCAGTGTAAATGTTTTACCTGTTGATAAACCAACCACATTTATCATTATGGCAGTGTAAATGTTTTGCCTGTTGATAAACCAACCAGATTTATCATTATGGCAGTGTAAATGTTTTGCCTGTTGATAAACCAACCACATCTATTTTTATGACAACACCTTTGGGACATTCTGATTCATCAAATATATCAATATTTTCTCAGGTGACAAGCTTGAATGCAGCCTTGAACCTGTGCATGCCAAGGTTGGCAGCTGTGTCTGACTTGATATCATCCATGTAAGTGTGTGGGGTGTCATCCATGTGAGTGTGTGAGATGTCATCCATGTAAGTGTGTGAGATATCATCCATGTAAGTTTGAGACATATATGTGAGTGTGTAGTCCTTTAATATCCTGGTTGTACGGAACCTCACGCAAGCCCCCAGCAACGCTTGCGGGTGAAAAATAACAGAGCTGTATTATAACATCATTTAGGAACATGAGTAGGTCTGCCAAACGTACAGCCAAAATTACAACCCTTGGTTAAAAGACTGCGGAGTAAAGAGAACATTGTTCACTGCACATCCTCTGTTAACCCTCAGTGTCGTCGTCACCGCGCTGGGGTACACCACAACAGCAACCATCCATAGGCTGGCCATTCATGTACATCCTCGGTTAACCCTCAGTGTCGTCGTCACCGCGCTTGGGTACACCACAACAGCAACCATCCATAGGCTGGCCATTCATGTACATCCTTGGTTAACCCTCAGTGTCGTCGTCACCGCGCTGTGGTACACCATAACAGCAACCATCCATCGGATGGCTAAGCCTAAATGTCCGACAAAACTAGATCATACGGATCAAAATCTGCCCTCAAAATTTGTATTGAACTGAAAAAGACCGAATGTCCACACCCAAAGACCCCACTCGCCCGAGTGTTGGGACAAAACTGATACGATATGCCTGGAGCAGGATGTAAAATTCTGTCGGGCTAACGGCTCGTCAAAGAAATCTAACGTGCGAAGAAAAAAGAATGTACCTATCTGTGTGGTCCAAAACCCACGGGCTGCTCCCCGCTGACTTCCAGAGGGCGCAGCCCCTGTCGAGCGGGAGGCCTGATACGGTTGTGAGGTTATGCAGGCATGTGCAGGACGTGACGATTCCTTGGGTGAGCCCAGAACCAGAGCGCCATGTGCCGGCTCTGCATACATGGATGCCTCCTTGGATGGCGGGGAATGCCCATGATCTGCCCCTGCCTTCCCTTGAGGGCTAACTGCTCCACAGGGGGCTGACCCAAAGGGGTACTCCGGGGGCAATACCTGCGGCAAAGGAGACAACGTGGACACCACACAAATCAGGCAACGTCTCGACCCACACAAAACAATGGCCACAGTCACCCTAGAAATAGGCCTGACGTCTTCCTTCGAAGTCGGCGTACAGCTGCCCATGAGGCAGGGAAATGAAAAACGGTTGTACACGCAAAAATCAGGTCCAGGTGAAAGCCAAAAGTCCAAGCGGACGATTACCTGACCTACCACTGGAATTCACAGCCGGTGTTCGATGAAAAAAAAAAAAATCCATGTAAGTGTGTGAGATTTAATCCATGCAAGTTTGTGAGATATCATCCATGCAAGTGTATGAGATTTCATCCATGTAAGTGTGTGAGATATCATCCATGTAAGTGTGTGAGATATTGTCCTTGTAAGAGTGTGGGGTGTCACCCATGTGAGTGTGTGATATATCATCCATGTGAGATGTCATCCATGTAAGTGTGTGAGATATCATCCATGTAAGTGTGAGACAACATCTGTGTGAGATATAATCGATATGAGGGTGTGAGATATCCATGTGAGTGTGAGAGATATCATCCCAGTGTGTGAGATATCATCCATGTGAGCGTTTGAGATATCATCCATGTAAGTGTGTTAGATATAATCCATGCCCATATGATGTGTGTGAGATATCATCCATATGAGTGTGTGAGATATCATACATGTAAGTGTGTGAGATATCATCCATGTGAGCATTTGAGATATCATCCATGTAAGTGTGTGAGATATCATCCATGCAAGTTTGTGAGATATCATCCATATAAGTGTATGAGATATCATCCATGTAAGTGTGTGATATATCCTCCATGTAAGTGTTTGTGTATGATATATACCTCCATGTGAGTGTTTTAGAAATCATCCATGTGAGTGTGTGAGATATCATCCATGTGAGTGTGTGAGATGTCATCCATGTGTGTGTGAGGTATCATCCATGTAAGTGTGTGAGAAGCCATCCATGTGTGTGTGTGGAGTTTCATCCTTGTAAGTTTGTGAGGTATCATCCATGTGAGTGTGTGATGTATCATCCTTGTAAGCATGTGAGGTGTCATCCTTGTAATTGTGTGAGGTATCATCCTTGTAAGTGTGTGATGTATTATCCTTGTAAGTGTGTGAGGTATCATCCATGTGAATGTGTGAGATATCATCCTTGTAAGTGTGTGAGGTGTCATCCTTGTAAGTGTGTGAGGTGTTATCTGTGTAAGGGTGTGAGGTGTCATCCATGTAAGTGTATGAGGTATCATCCTTGTAAGTGTGTGAGGTATCATCCGTGTAAGTGTGTGAGATATGATCCATGTGAGATGTCATCCATGTAAGTGTGTGAGATGTCATCCATGTAAGTGTGTGAGATATCATCCATGTAAGTTTGAGACATCTATGTGAGTGTGTGAGATATCATCCATAAGAGTGTGTGAGATATCATACATGTAAGTGTGTGAGATATCATCCATGTAAGTGTGTGAGATTTAATCCATGCAAGTTTGTGAGATATCATCCATGCAAGTGTATGAGATTTCATCCATGTAAGTGTGTGAGATATCATCCATGTAAGTGCATGAGATATCATCCATGTAAGTGTGTGAGATATTGTCCTTGTAAGAGTGTGGGGTGTCATCCATGTGAGTGTGTGATATATCATCCATGTGAGATGTCATCCATGTAAGTGTGTGAGATATCATCCATGTAAGTGTGAGACAACATCTGTGTGAGATATAATCGATATGAGGGTGTGAGATATCCATGTGAGTGTGAGAGATATCATCCATGTAAGTGTGTGAGATATCATCCATGTGAGCGTTTGAGATATCATCCATGTAAGTGTGTTAGATATAATCCATGCAAGTTTATGAGATATCATCCATGCAAGTGTGTGAGATTTCATCTATGTAAGTGCATGAGATATCATTCATGTAAGTGTGTGAGATATCATCCTTGTAAGTGTGTGGGGTGTCATCCATGTGAGTGTGTGAGATATCATCCATGTAAATGTGTGAGATTTCATCCATGTAAGTGTGAGACAACGTCTATGTGAGTGTGTGAGATATCATCCATATGAGTGTGAGATATCATCCATGTGAGTGTGTGAGAAATCATCCATGTAAGTGTGTAAGATATCATCCTTGTAAGTGTGTGGGATGTCATCCATGTGAGTGTGTGAGATATCATCTAAGTGAGATGTCATCCATGTGAGATGTCATCCATGTAAGTGTGAGATATCATCCATGTAAGTGTGTGAGATGTCATCCATGTAAATGTGTGAGATATCATCCATGTAAGTGTGAGACAACATCTATGTGAGTGTGTGAGATATCATCCATATGAGTGTGTGAGATATCATCCATATGAGTGTGTGAGATATCATACATGTAAGTGTGTGAGATATCATCCATGTGAGCATTTGAGATATCATCCATGTAAGTGTGTGAGATATCATCCATGCAAGTTTGTGAGATATCATCCATGTAAGTTTGTGATATATCATCCATGCAAGTGTGTGAGATTTCATCCATGTAAGTGTGTGAGATATCATCCATATAAGTGTATGAGATATCATCCATGTAAGTGTGTGATATATCCTCCATGTAAGTGTTTGTGTATGATATATACCTCCATGTGAGTGTTTTAGAAATCATCCATGTGAGTGTGTGAGATATCATCCATGTGAGTGTGTGAGATGTCATCCATGTGTGTGTTAGGTATCATCCATGTAAGTGTGTGAGAAGCCATCCATGTGTGTGTGTGGAGTTTCATCCTTGTAAGTTTGTGAGGTATCATCCATGTGAGTGTGTGATGTATCATCCTTGTAAGCGTGTGAGGTATCATCCTTGTAAGTGTGTGAGGTATCATCCTTGTAAGTGTGTGAGGTGTTATCCGTGTACGTGTGTGAGGTATCATCCTTGTAAGTGTGTGAGGTATCATCCATGTGTGTGTGAGGTATCATCCTTGTAAGTGTGTGAGGTATCATCCTTGTAATTGTGTGAGGTATCATCCTTGTAATTGTGTGAAGTATCATCCTTGTAATTGTGTGAGGTGTTATCTGTGTAAGTGTGTGAGGTGTCATCCTTGTAAGTGTGTGAGGTATCATCCATGTAAGTGTGTGAGGTATCATCCATGTAAGTGTGTGAGGTGTCATCCATGTAAGTGTGTGAGGTGTCATCCTTGTAAGTGTGTGAGGTATCATCCTTGTAAGTGTGTGAGGTATCATCCTTGTAAGTGTGTGAGGTATCATCCTTGTAAGTGTGTGATGTATTATCCTTGTAAGTGTGTGAGGTATCATACATGTGAATGTGTGAGGTATCATCCATGTGAATGTGTGAGGTATCATCCTTGTAAGTGTGTGAGGTGTCATCCGTGTAAATGTGTGAGGTATCATCCTTGTAAGTGTGTGAGGTGTCATCCTTGTAAGTGTGTGAGGTGTCATCCTTGTAAGTGTGTGAGGTGTCATCCTTGTAAGTGTGTGAGGTGTCATCCTTGTAAGTGTGTGAGGTATCATCCATGTAAGTGTGTGAGGTGTCATCCATGTGAATGTGTGAGGTATCATCCTTGTAAGTGTGTGAGATGTCATCCGTGTAAATGTGTGAAGTATCATCTGTGTAAATGTGTGAAGTATCATCCATGTAAGTGTGTGAGGTATCATCCTTGTAAGTGTGTGAGGTATCATCCTTGTAAGTGTGTGAGGTATTATCCTTGTAAGTGTGTGAGGTGTCATCCTTGTAAGTGTGTGAGGTATCATCCTTGTAAGTGTGTGAGGTATCATCCTCGTAAGTGTGTGAGGTATTATCCTTGTAAGTGTGTGAGGTATTATCCTTGTAAGTGTGTGAGGTATCATCCTTGTAAGTGTGTGAGGTATCATCCTTGTAAGTGTGTGAGGTATCATCCTTGTAAGTGTGTGAGGTATAATCCTTGTAAGTGTGTGAGGTGTCATCCTTGTAAGTGTGTGAGGTATCATCCTTGTAAGTGTGTGAGGTGTCATCCTTGTAAGTGTGTGAGGGTATCATCCTTGTAAGTGTGTGAGGTGTCATCCTTGTAAGTGTGTGAGGTGTCTTCCTTGTAAGTGTGTGAGGTGTCTTCCTTGTAAGTGTGTGAGGTATCATCCTTGTAAGTGTGTGAGGTGTCATCCGTGTAAATGTGTGAGGTATCATCCTTGTAAGTGTGTGAGGTATCATCCTTGTAAGTGTGTGAGGTATCATCCTTGTAAGTGTGTAAGGTATCATCCTTGTAAGTGTGTGAGGTATCATCCTTGTAAGTGTGTGAGGTATCATCCTTGTAAGTGTGTGAGGTATCATCCTTGTAAGTGTGTATGATGTCATCCTTGTAAGTGTGTGAGGTATCATCCTTGTAAGTGTGTAAGGTATCATCCTTGTAAGTGTGTGAGGTGTCATCCGTGTAAATGTGTGAGGTATCATCCTTGTAAGTGTGTGAGGTATCATCCTTGTAAGTGTGTGAGGTATCATCCTTGTAAGTGTGTGAGGTATCATCCTTGTAAGTGTGTATGATGTCATCCTTGTAAGTGTGTGAGGTATCATCCTTGTAAGTGTGTAAGGTATCATCCTTGTAAGTGTGTGAGGTATCATCCTTGTAAGTGTGTGAGGTATCATCCTTGTAAGTGTGTGAGGTATCATCCTTGTAAGTGTGTAAGGTATCATCCTTGTAAGTGTGTAAGGTATCATTCTTGTAAGTGTGTAAGGTATCATTCTTGTAAGTGTGTAAGGTATCATCCTTGTAAGTGTGTGAGGTATCATCCTTGTGTGTGAGGTATCATCCTTGTAAGTGTGTGAGGTATCATCCTTGTAAGTGTGTGAGGTATCATCCTTGTAAGTGTGTGAGGTGTCATCCTTGTGAGTGTGTGAGGTATCATCCTTGTAAGTGTGTGAGGTGTCATCCTTGTAAGTGTGTGAGGTGTCATCCTTGTAAGTGTGTGAGGTGTCATCCTTGTAAGTGTGTGAGGGTATCATCCTTGTAAGTGTGTGAGGTATCATCTTTGTAAGTGTGTGAGGTGTCATCCTTGTAAGTGTGTGAGGTATCATCCTTGTAAGTGTGTGAGGTGTCATCCTTGTAAGTGTGTGAGGTGTCTTCCTTGTAAGTGTGTGAGGTATCATCCTTGTAAGTGTGTGAGGTATCATCCTCGTAAGTGTGTGAGGTATCATCCTTGTAAGTGTGTGAGGTGTTATCCGTGTAAATGTGTGAGGTATCATCCTTGTAAGTGTGTGAGGTATCATCCTTGTAAGTGTGTGAGGTATCATCCTTGTAAGTGTGTGAGGTATCATCCATGTGAATGTGTGAGGTATCATCCTTGTAAGTGTGTGAAGTATCATCCGTGTAAGTGTGTGAGGTGTCATCCTTGTAAGTGTGTGAAGTATCATCCGTGTAAGTGTGTGAGGTGTCATCCTTGTAAGTGTGTGAGGTATCATCCTTGTAAGTGTGTGAGTTATCATCCTTGTAAGTGTGTGAGGTGTCTTCCTTGTAAGTGTGTGAGGTATCATCCTTGTGTGTGAGGTATCATCCTTGTAAGTGTGTGAGGTATCATCCTTGTAAGTGTGTGAGGTATCATCCTTGTGAATGTGTGAGGTATCATCCTTGTAAGTGTGTGAAGTATCATCCGTGTAAGTGTGTGAGGTGTCATCCTTGTAAGTGTGTGAAGTATCATCCGTGTAAGTGTGTGAGGTATCATCCTTGTAAGTGTGTGAGGTATCATCCATGTGAATGTGTGAGGTATCATCCTTGTAAGTGTGTGAAGTATCATCCGTGTAAGTGTGTGAGGTGTCATCCTTGTAAGTGTGTGAAGTATCATCCGTGTAAGTGTGTGAGGTGTCATCCTTGTAAGTGTGTGAGGTATCATCCTTGTAAGTGTGTGAGTTATCATCCTTGTAAGTGTGTGAGGTGTCTTCCTTGTAAGTGTGTGAGGTATCATCCTTGTGTGTGAGGTATCATCCTTGTAAGTGTGTGAGGTATCATCCTTGTAAGTGTTTAAGGTGTCATCCTTGTAAGTGTGTAAGGTGTCATCCTTGTAAGTGTGTGAGGGTATCATCCTTGTAAGTGTGTGAGGTATCATCCTTGTAAGTGTGTGAGGTATCATCCTTGTAAGTGTGTAAGGTATCATCCTTGTAAGTGTGTGAGGTATCATCCTTGTAAGTGTGTGAGGTGTCATGCTTGTAAGTGTGTGAGGTGTCATGCTTGTAAGTGTGTGAGGTATCATCCTTGTAAGTGTGTGAGGTATCATCCTTGTAAGTGTGTAAGGTATCATCCTTGTAAGTGTGTGAGGTATCATCCTTGTAAGTGTGTATGATGTCAACCTTGTAAGTGTGTGAGGTATCATCCTTGTAAGTGTGTAAGGTATCATCCTTGTAAGTGTGTGAGGTATCATCCTTGTAAGCGTGTGAGGTATCATCCTTGTAAGTGTGTGAGGTATCATCCTTGTAAGTGTGTAAGGTATCATCCTTGTAAGTGTGTAAGGTATCATTCTTGTAAGTGTGTAAGGTATCATTCTTGTAAGTGTGTAAGGTATCATCCTTGTAAGTGTGTGAGGTATCATCCTTGTAAGTGTGTGAGGTATCATCCTTGTAAGTGTGTGAGGTGTCATCCTTGTAAGTGTGTGAGGTGTCATCCTTGTAAGTGTGTGAGGTGTCATCCTTGTAGGTGGGTAAGGTGTCATCCTTGTAAGTGGGTAAGGTGTCATCCTTGTAAGTGTGTAAGGTGTCATCCTTGTAAGTGTGTGAGGTGTCATCCTTGTAAGTGTGTGAGGTGTCATCCTTGTAAGTGTGTGAGGTGTCATCCTTGTAAGTGTGTGAGACATTCTCCATGTGAGTGTCCCCTGTGGGTTCTGGGGTCCCATTGTGGGGGAAAACAAGAATATAACCACTGTCCTCTCCCCCTCCCACAAGCATGTCGTAAGAGTTGACAAATTGGGGACTTCCTTTAAAGTCAGAGTGTGTCTGCCCAAGACCGGCTCCAGCAATTTTTTGTTGTTGACGAAAAAGGTTCAAGTAACACTGCATTAGCCAATCGTTAGCCCGGTTTGGTGACGTCAGCAGCATGTCCCGTCAGCTGGAGCCGGTCTTGGTCTGCCTGAGGCGCAAGGAACCAATAGTCTGCAGACAAATAAGCCAGATCTGTAAAATAGATGTGCTTGCAAGACTCAAGTTCTAGAACAAGACTAAATTCCAGAAGTGGACGAACAACTAGAACTTTCCTCTAGAATTTACAACAACCTGTGAATGTGAAAAAGAAGTAGAAAAAGGAGAAGATACGTGTGTTTCCATTTCATATCTTTTCTTCTGCTGCTTCCTTTCTGGTTCTTTCCCTTTACTTGTTTATTTTACAGTTTGATAATCAAAGGAACATAAACATTCACAATAATAATACAGCTCAGCATTCTACTGTTGCTCCTAATTACTACACTACAGACAAACTAACTAGAAAGCACAATGGAGGGAAAGGAATAGACGTGCACAAATACAAGCCAATATTTCGACCTGTCTTTATCAGCTGACAAAACAACTCACTAATGAAACAACTGACAAGCTAACATCAGTCAGGAGTTAGCAATAGGAACAAATATGGACACGAAAATCATTATGAAATTTACTGTTGTCTTTGCAGGACTCTGTCTTTGGCCATTCTGCATTTCAAGTTGGAAGTTTTAGACCACTTTGGGGATGTGAACACAGTCCTGCAGGCACTCAAGTCTGTGAGAATCCCCATCAGTGCTCCACCACTTTGCTTCTTCCACTCATGCTGTCCATCATTTCAGCTAACCAGGTGACTTTCATCTGTTTACTGTGTTTGTTTTCTGTAACATCTTAACCATGTCATTTTGTCATTTTCGTTTTTTTTAACAGTGTCATGGTTGAAACAAACAAATCTAGGATCATTTTCAGTGACCTTAGCTCCCATGCCAACTTACTTCCTTATTTAGTCGATCTCTCACACTGTGGCATGTACAGGTTTCCCAGAGGAATCAACAACTTCTCTATCAGCAGTTTTATTGTTGCCGTTGTTTCCTAAGCCATGCCAATTCATCACTGTTAAGATCCCTCTGGCTTTCTCTGGGATAACTTTTAGTCATAGTTTGAGGCAAAAAGGTGAATGGCCTGTTGGGCCTTTGCATGGTGGAGGGGCTGCCTCCTTGGGACCTTCATGCAGGCCGTCTGGCTGATTCAGTTACCACCTACTTCAGGAGACACAGGAGACAGTTTCAGCCTGAAACCCACTCCTTTTTTCAGCCAGCTGTGGTCCGGTCTTAGCGGAACTCCATGTCAGTCCAGCCTTGAATCGGATCCAGGATTGTCTCTGGTAGGAACAGATGACCAGTTTCATGTGATCACATCTGCCTAGTGGTCTTGAAATATTCTGTTGGCACCATCTAATCTGGGTCTCCAGCATATACCACATACCCAATCAGGTGTGTCCATCACAAAGTGGTCAAGTTGTTGGCTCCCCGACCTGAAGATCATGGGTTCATTTCATGGATGTGTTGTTCAGTTTGTGAGTGCATTTTAAAAATATGGAAATCCCTGTGGACTGTCACTGGAGTTACAGAGTTTGTACTTTGTTTGGCTCTTTTAGCAGGCTGCTGACCATTTTGATGAGAGAGTGAGCCATATGGGAAAACCTGGTTCATTGAAGTTGATCATCTCATTTGAAATCAACTGGAACCACATATCCAGTACCCCCAAGACATAAAACTGGGTTTTGTACCGAACTTTTCTTTCATTTCTTTCTTTCTTCCAGTGGTGTCCCTTGTATTATATTAAATCTTTAAACAAATTATACTGTTAATATTGACTAAGTATCTATTTGATAAAGAAATGATCTTGGCTCTCAGGTCGATCCAGCCTAAAATGGGTGCCAGGTAAATTCCTGGGAAGTAAAGGTGGCAGGTGTGATGTTGGCCAGCTCTTCCACTGAGGGTCAAATGCACTCTTGAAGTCAAGAATAATTGCTTGATTTGAAGAGTACTTTCACTGTATTTATCTGTTTGTTGTAAGCATAATTTGTATATATTAGAGTGAATAAGATGTCACACCAGTATTTTGTATATTGGAAGGTGAGTTAGATAGCATATATCTCTCTCAACACCCAGAGCAGTAAAAGAGGAAGTGAAGAAGAAGAGGAAGATGGCTTATCCATATTTTGTAAATATCAATGTGAAATGGCTAACTTACCTATATTTTATATGTATCAATGAATACCTTATCTATTTTTATATGTATCAATTGATGTCTTACCTATATTTTTATATGTTTCAATGGATGTCTTAACTATATTTTATATGTATCAATGTGAATAAGATATATTACCTATATTTTATATGTATCAATGTGAATTGGATGTCTCACCTAATTTCTATATATATATTAGTGTGAACCGGATGTCTTGCCTATATTTCATATGTATCAATGGATGTCTTAGTCATATTTTATGAGTATCAATGTGAATTAGATTCAGGTACCGACTGATTACCTGCTGTGTGTTACAGGCAGCAATCATACAGTCAATGGCAGCCATCTTGTCTCTTGTTCTTATAACGGAGGATAACTTTCGACAGGTACCTTTGTCATCTTGTTATGTAGCCTCATCTATTAAAAAAAAAAAGTTTTGATAGCCAAAAATACTTGCAGCATTTGTGACAACTGTTGACCAATTTATTAACAGACAGCACAAAACTGAGATAACTGTTGTGTTAAAGAAAACTCTAAATTGTGATTTTACAATTAAAGTGAAAATACTTGATCAAGTCAGCAAAGTTAAATATTTAGAGGGACATTTGTTGACATCAGATGGAAGATGCCCGACAAAGATAAAGTGTATGTCTGCATGTTTATCCTCTGTCTGACTGTTCCCTGAAGACTTGACCACCCAGTCACTTCTAAAATTGTCTCCTAGAACAGGGTAAGTCCCAGATCCATCATTCAACCTCCAAGGAAGTTATAATTAAGGCCCTCATCAGACTTGAAGTGAGAACTGAAGGTCAGGAATGTTGAAATGTTGCTTTGAATTTGTTCTAATATACTTCCTCTGTGGGTGCCAGGACCCCACTGTAGGGAAAGCAAGCCTGCCCAACAGGCATGTCCTAGTAGTTGACTAACTGGGGCATCTTTCATATAGGGAGCACATCTGCCAGTGAGACAAGGAACCTAAAGTCTGCATACAAATAAGCCAGATCTGTAAAACAGATGTGCGCGTAAAGTCCAGAGGTGGATTAATTAACAAGCAAAAGTTTAAACCTGAGTTCACGGCTGGTGAATGAAAAGATGCAGAAGCCGTTATAATGTATGTCAGTGAATACTGGAATGTGAATGAACAAATGACGAAAGCCTGGAAATAGCAGAGATGTGATTCCCGAGATGAATGTTGTGACTACATCAGACAGGGTATGTAACATTGCATGGACAATGTTACAGAAAGTAGATGATTGTACGTAACTGTGAGAAAAGAGAAATTCTGCTGTCATGTGATGTGAAGAGAATGTTGTAAGGAACTGGAAGGTCAGGGGTCGGACAGGCACAGACAGACTTACAGAAATGATGTTAGGTGCACTTAGTTGGCAGCCTAGAGGGAAGACCATAGAACACATCTAGAACATCAAAGGACTGAGAAATGTCAAGATACATGAAGCTTACTAGGTCATGCTTTACCATGGTCATGATGATGATAATTTGTCCAAGAAAACTTTCATAAGATCATAGCAGGTTGTACAGCTATGTTCAAGAGCTTGAAGCATATCTTCTCGCAAAGTTCTTTCTAAATGTTTCTGACTTTTAATATTACCATGCTACCTCAGTAAACGTTCATTTTGGTTTATGTTCAACTTGGCATACTTCCTGTTGACATGAAAAATAACTTGTACCTGGCATATGATCTTTGCTTGGAATCGAAACTAGTCACGACACGGTGAGCTATCATTGTTTATCTTTCTCTAGACAGAGCCACAGATAAATGTCAATGACTTTGCAGTGAACAAACAAAACAAGTAATAAAAGCATTTACTGAAAAATCCAGACAATGTCACATTTCTGAAACATCATGAGGAGAAGGCAGGAGCAAAGTTCCTTGGGCAGATTGTGAGTAAAAGTCGAACCTGCTGAGCCTCAGCCAGGTCCAGGCAGCAACAAGAATCAGAAAAAAAAAAAAGAGAAAGAAAAAAACATCAGAATTTCAGACTGATGAAGTGTCATTGCAAGGGGACTTTGATCTAAGTGTTTTTTGTATTTCAGTATTAGGCAGTATATACACTGTTGTATACAGTCGCATCAATCTACAATATACAAATATCAATAGGATTTTTTCCCTGAAAATGGATTAATCATTCTCATTTTATTTCTTATGGGAAAATTAGTTTGATAGATGTCCAAGGATGAGGAACAGAAGAAGTCGCACATCGAGGTACCACTGCATTTTAGTTCCTGATACAAGACGCTAGGGGAGCAGCTGGCTGAGTGATTTAAAGTGAGGGCTGTCAGGCAAAATACCCAGGTTCAATCTTCAATATGGGATGGAGATCTTTTCTAGCCTAAGCCAGCAATGAAAAGCATGTCCTGCACAGTTCATGGCAACTACACTAGCCATGCAGTGTTAAATCCTCAGCCACATCATCCCCTCTCCTGTACCGTTGAAAGTTCTACATACAGACAATCTTCACAATGTTCACATCTTGTAGAATGTCTTTCTTGTTCACATCTTGTAGAATGTCTTTCATGTTCACATCTTGTAGAATGTCTTTCATGTTCACATCTTGTAGAATGTCTTTCTTGTTCACATCTTGTAGAATGCCTTTCATGTTCACATCTTGTAGAATGCCTTTCATGTTCACATCTTGTAGAATGTCTTTCTTGTTCACATCTTGTAGAATGTCTTTCTTGTGTCAGTTTGGTGACTATCTTGAGAAAGAGTAAAACATGCAGTAATTAATGCGGCTAATCAAAAAACCTAGAAGAAATACCTGTATGAAACCTTTTTCCTGCAGATGACGCTACAGAGTCCAGACTTCTACCTGTCTGTGGTCAAGTGTGTATCCTCTCTACTGGGTGTCTATGGACTATATCTGGCTGTGGCGGCGACAGAATCAGTGTGGAAACCCCTGGACCTGACTCTTAAGTGTGCCATCCTTGTTAGTTGGCTCTGTTTGTTCAACGGTCAAGGTCTAATATTTGCCCTTCTCAATTTGTACGCCATCCCAGCTTGTACTGGACATCTGTCGTCACGTGTCAAGGGCAGAGGTTAGAGTTCATGTGTTCTGTGTTGTGTGTAACACTGTACAATTTAGTGCATTGCATAGATCTGTCAGCGTAGGTTATTTATCTTGGAAAGGAATCTCTGATTGTATCTATGAAGACACTTTTAAACTTGTCTTCTTATAGTTCATGTTGTATGTCGCTGGTAGTCATGTTTGTCCACAACCTTCACATTTTTAATCAGTTCTGAAACAGACATCTTCCAGGCCATGATATCAGACTGTCCAACATTTTCTCTCTTGATGTCCCTCTACCTCTTTTACACTCTAACTTTCCCACTGTCATGATGTGCTCCAGTTTTCTCTTTCTCATGACAAACCCAAAGAATCTAGACTGTCTCTTCTTTTATCTGTCTTGGGTATTCTCATCATTCATCTATAAAACTACATGTGTTCCGCAACTGACCAACTGTCCCTGATTCCATGACTTTGCAGTTTCTTTCTGTGAGAGCATTGGCCATACTCAGCAGATTGTCCTAGCCATTGTCACACTGAAGACATTCTATCTAAACTAAGAACATGATATTTATTGGTTGTGTGTGTAGACTAAAGTTGTCTGACTGTGGAGGTCATCGCACTTACTAAAGCAACAGTCTGTCTGTGGAGGTCATGGCACTAACTAAAGCTACAGTCTGTCTGTGCAGGTCATGGCACTAACTAAAGCTACAGTCTGTCTGTGCAGGTCATGGCACTAACTAAAGCAACAGTCTGTCTGTGGAGGTCATGGCAGTAACTAAAGCTACAGTCTGTCTGTGGAGGTCATGGCAGTAACTAAAGCAACAGTCTGTCTGTGGAGGATATGGCACTAACTAAAGCAACAGTCTGTCTGTGGAGGTCATGGCACTAACTAAAGCTACAGTCTGTCTGTGGAGGTCATGGCACTAACTAAAGCAACAGTCTGTCTGTGGAGGTCATGGCAGTAACTAAAGCAACAGTCTGTCTGTGGAGGTCATGGCACTAACTAAAGCAACAGTCTGTCTGTGGAGGTCATGGCACTAACTAAAGCTAGTCTGTCTGTGGAGGTCATGGCAGTAACTAAAGCAACAGTCTGTCTGTGGAGGATATGGCACTAACTAAAGCAACAGTCTGTCTGTGGAGGTCATGGCACTAACTAAAGCTACAGTCTGTCTGTGGAGGTCATGGCACTAACTTAAGCAACAGTCTGACTGTGAAGGTCATGGCACTAACTAAAGCAACAGTCTGTCTGTGGAGGTCATGGCACTAACTAAAGCTACAGTCTGTCTGTGCAGGTCATGGCACTAACTAAAGCTACAGTCTGTCTGTGCAGGTCATGGCACTAACTAAAGCTACAGTCTGTCTGTGGAGGTCATGGCACAAACTAAAGCTACAGTCTGTCTGTGGAGGTCATGGCACTAACTAAAGCTACAGTCTATCTGTGCAGGTCATGGCACTAACTAAAGCTACAGTCTGTCTGTGCAGGTCATGGCACTAACTAAAGCAACAGTCTGTCTGTGGAGGTCATGGCACAAACTAAAGCTACAGTCTGTCTGTGGAGGTCATGGCACTAACTAAAGCTACAGTCTGTCTGTGCAGGTCATGGCACTAACTAAAGCTACAGTCTGTCTGTGCAGGTCATGGCACTAACTAAAGCAACAGTCTGTCTGTGGAGGTCATGGCACTAACTAAAGCTACAGTCTGTCTGTGGAGGTCATGGCACTAACTAAAGCAACAGTCTGTCTGTGAAGGTCATGGCACTAACTAAAGCAACAGTCTGTCTGTGGAGGTCATGGCACTTACTAAAGCTACAGTCTGTCTGTGGAGGTCATGGCACTAACTAAAGCAACAGTCTGTCTGTGAAGGTCATGGCACTTACTAAAGCAACAGTCTGTCTGTGGAGGTCATGGCACTAACTAAAGCAACAGTCTGTCTGTGGAGGTCATGGCACTTACTAAAGCTACAGTCTGTCTGTGGAGGTCATGGCACTAACTAAAGCAACAGTCTGTCTGTGGAGGTCATGGCACTAACTAAAGCAACAGTCTGTGAAGGTCATGGCACTAACTAAAGCAACAGTCTGTCTGTGGAGGTCATGGCACTAACTAAAGCAACAGTCTGTCTGTGGAGGTCATGGCACTTACTAAAGCTACAGTCTGTCTGTGAAGGTCATGGCACTAACTAAAGCAACAGTCTGTCTGTGGAGGTCATGGCACTAACTAAAGCAACAGTCTGTCTGTGAAGGTCATGGCACTAACTAAAGCAACAGTCTGTCTGTGGAGGTCATGGCACTTACTAAAGCTACAGTCTGTCTGTGAAGGTCATGGCACTAACTAAAGCAACAGTCTGTCTGTGGAGGTCATCGCACTTACTAAAGCTACAGTCTGTCTGTGGAGGTCATGGCACTAACTAAAGCTACAGTCTGTCTGTGGAGGTCATGGCACTAACTAAAGCAACAGTCTGTCTGTGCAGGTCATGGCACTAACTAAAGCAACAGTCTGTCTGTGCAGGTCATGGCACTAACTAAAGCAACAGTCTGTCTGTGGAGGTCATGGCACTAACTAAAGCTACAGTCTGTCTGTGGAGGTCATGGCACTAACTAAAGCTACAGTCTGTCTGTGGAGGTCATGGCACTAACTAAAGCTACAGTCTGTGGAGGTCATGGCACTAACTAAAGCAACAGTCTGTCTGTGAAGGTCATGGCACTAACTAAAGCAACAGTCTGTCTGTGGAGGTCATGGCACTTACTAAAGCTACAGTCTGTCTGTGAAGGTCATGGCACTAACTAAAGCAACAGTCTGTCTGTGGAGGTCATCGCACTTACTAAAGCTACAGTCTGTCTGTGGAGGTCATGGCACTAACTAAAGCTACAGTCTGTCTGTGGAGGTCATGGCACTAACTAAAGCAACAGTCTGTCTGTGCAGGTCATGGCACTAACTAAAGCTACAGTCTGTCTGTGCAGGTCATGGCACTAACTAAAGCTACAGTCTGTCTGTGCAGGTCATGGCACTAACTAAAGCAACAGTCTGTCTGTGAAGGTCATGGCACTAACTAAAGCTACAGTCTGTGGAGGTCATGGCACTAACTAAAGCAACAGTCTGTCTGTGAAGGTCATGGCACTAACTAAAGCAACAGTCTGTCTGTGGAGGTCATGGCACTAACTAAAGCAACAGTCTGTCTGTGGAGGTCATGGCACTTACTAAAGCTACAGTCTGTCTGTGAAGGTCATGGCACTAACTAAAGCAACAGTCTGTCTGTGGAGGTCATCGCACTTACTAAAGCTACAGTCTGTCTGTGGAGGTCATGGCACTAACTAAAGCTACAGTCTGTCTGTGGAGGTCATGGCACTAACTAAAGCAACAGTCTGTCTGTGAAGGTCATGGCACTAACTAAAGCAACAGTCTGTCTGTGAAGGTCATGGCACTAACTAAAGCAACAGTCTGTCTGTGAAGGTCATGGCACTAACTAAAGCAACAGTCTGTCTGTGAAGGTCATGGCACTAACTAAAGCAACAGTCTGTCTGTGAAGGTCATGGCACTAACTAAAGCAACAGTCTGTCTGTGAAGGTCATGGCACTAACTAAAGCAACAGTCTGTCTGTGAAGGTCATGGCACTAACTAAAGCAAGTCTGTCTGTGCAGGTCATGGCACTAACTAAAGCTACAGTCTGTCTGTGGAGGTCATGGCACTAACTAAAGCAACAGTCTGTCTGTGAAGGTCATGGCACTAACTAAAGCAACAGTCTGACTGTGGAGGTCATGGCACTAACTAAAGCAACAGTCTGTCTGTGCAGGTCATGGCACTAACTAAAGCTACAGTCTGTCTGTGGAGGTCATGGCACTAACTAAAGCTACAGTCTGTCTGTGGAGGTCATGGCACTAACTTAAGCAACAGTCTGACTGTGAAGGTCATGGCACTAACTAAAGCAACAGTCTGTCTGTGGAGGTCATGGCACAAACTAAAGCTACAGTCTGTCTGTGGAGGTCATGG